CGGGATAATCCACCCATCTGATAGTAGTTCGTCCTCCCCACCTCAGATTGGTCCTAATAAATCTCGTGACTGGTGCCCTTGCGTTGACTACCGCGCCCTCAGTAGGCTAACCGTCCCAGATAGGTATACGATCCCACACATGCAGGACCTCACCGCATGCCTCACAGGTAAGACAATTTTCAGTAAGATCCATCTGGTTCAAGCATATCACCCGCTACCTGTAGACGAAGACAATCCTAAAACAGCTTTCATCACTCCTTTCAGTTTGTTCGAATTTCGGACTATGCAACGTCGCAAAAACCTTTCAACGCTTCATTCACGATGTCGCTCGTGGTCTCGTGTTCTATTCATATCTCGATGTTATTTTAGTAGCCAGTTCATCGGAAGAAGAGCACCTCCACCACCATTCTCTCTTCTAGTGCTTGACACAACAAGGTGTCACAGTCAACCCAAATAATTGCGAACTCGCCAAGTCAACGATGGAATTCCCAGGCCACCTCATTCCATTGTCAGGTATCGAAGTTCTTCCTGATAAGATCCAGGCAATTAAGGACTTCCCAGCCCCGACGTCATTCAAGAACCTCTGTCGATTTTGTAGTCTGGTCAACTACTATGGACGTTTCATTTATCGCTGTGCTCAGTCTATGCAGCCCTTGACTGACCTACTCAGAGAAAATGAACATAAGTCGCTTTCCCGAACACAGCACACTGCCTTTACCGAGGTCAAGGATGCTATCCCCAGCATGGCTATCTTCGCTCATTCCAAACCGACTTCATTTCTCGCTATCACAATTGATGCCTCAGACGTAGAGGTAGTTGTTTTCCAACAACACGTTGGTGGGCAGTGGCAACCTCTCGGCGTCTTCTCCAAACTCCTGCAACCAGCGGAATCCCGCTACAACACGTTTGGCAAAGAACTGCTAGCCATCTACTGAGCCAATCGCCACTTCTGGCACAAAATAGAAGGTCACATTTTCACGGTTTACACTAAGCAGAAGTCCCTTATCTTCGCTTCCAACTCAGCGTCTGATAAATGTTCACAACAAATAAGCAGAAACTTAGAGTTGCCCAGGTAATTCAATGAAAGATACATCATGTTTCAGGTGTCGACAACCTCGTCGCTGACGCTCTCTCACTCCTTAGTCTTTTCCTCCCATCGAACTTGCCACTATTGCATCGACTCAAGATGAAAACATTCAAAGCACCCTGCAGTCCAATTCACTGCATGTGTGATCCGTTCCTCTCCAAACCATGGACGGTACTATCTCTGGTGACAGTTCCACAGGTTTTTCTAGACTCCTCGTGTCCGTGGCCCACAGGTAACAAGCTCGCCTTGTAATCTGACGGCGCGGGTTCGAGCCGGCATAGGGACAGGGCAGCACTCGCGTAATCCATGGCCCACGTGCAACTGGTGGTGGTTGCGAGGCAGCGAAGCGTCGGTAATACGTACCGGCGTCCTGCTGATGTCAGCCTCGTACCCGCCTCTCTCTGACGCACTCCACTCACTATCACCTCCTGGTATCCGTGCCGCTTTGAAATTGGTCACCGAACGTTTTGTTTGGCCATACGTAAACAAAGATGTTTGTACGTGAGCTCGCGCCTATCTTCCATGCCAGCGTTCCAAAGTACATCGACACACTCGTAGTCATCTTGGATTATTCTGCGCCCAGAAGTTCAATGCTCGTTTGGGCACTTAAACCTGGTAGATCCTTTATCCCCTTCAAGCGGATCCGTATACATGCTTGCACGTGTCAACCGCTGCACCAGATGGCCAGAAGTCCTTCCCGTAGCAGACTGCACAGCCGGGACTGCCATCGGTGGGCCTCGTTTTACGATGCCCATCCACCATTACAACCGATCATGGAACACGTTTCGGATCTCCACAATTCGATACGCTCTGCAACCTTTTGGCTGTAGCCGCATTCATACCACAGCGTATCACAACGAAACCAATGGACTAGTCGGATGATTCCACAGACAACTTGAAGCCTTGCTCTGTGCCTCCTCAGACTCTAGGTGGAGCGAAAACGTATCGCCCGTACTTTTAGGTATTCGCAGCAGCAGAGTTAAGTTGCAATGCGTACCAGCAGAGGTGGTTTACGGCACAACACTAAGGCTGCCAGGAGAATTCGTTTCACCTCCCGCATCGTCAGGTATGCCTCCGCATGCGTTCAGTACGCCCGACTCCGCCCGGTGAGCAAATCAGGTTTGCAAACGCACAGCGGACTCTCTACCTGCACACATGTCTTCCTCCGCACCAACGCAGTGGGGCCCCTCTCTACAGCCTCTCAGAGCTCTGCAACAAACTCCAAAGCACTCCATGTTAAACCAGAACGATCACCGAACAACGGTGTCTATGGACCGACTAAAAATGATTTTGACGAAACGGCTGAACATATTGCACTTAACAAACGGCTCACTGCTGCACGGACTGATATTAAGAAAATTCTGAGCAGGAACGACGAAACGCCACCAAAAAAGCGGCTTGCATGTAAGACGAATAATTCAACTCCTCATTTTTACTTCACTAACCGTATTGGCAACGATGTGGATCCTGCAGATCACTAATACTACCCCTATCTGAAGATATTAACCAGCATCCACTTCATCAACTCACCCCGAGGTATCCTTGCAGGGTAATGTCGAGCCGAGCTAGCTAGAAGATGCTGGGCACATGCACAACGTAATTACTATTACAAATCCGGCAAAAATTACTGTCATTTGATGTGCCCCTTCCATAAGGAACGAGTCAGTGAAATATGTGGCATGAAATATTAACCAAAATATAAAGCATGAAATTAAGAATACTAGGAATTAAAATAAAGCACCAGTTAATGAGTATAAGAGCAACTATCTCAGGTCCCAACGAGAAATCTCATCGCAAAGCGCCGCATTCTTAGAATACTCTATGTGAATGCCCAACAGTCTCGACACCTAAACAACATCCACCAGGATATGAGAAACACCCACTAAATCAGCTGGGGAAAACTGTACGCTGTCGCAAATATGCATACGATATTGGAACTGATTCAGCGGTCGATAATAGCAAGCCAACCATCTACCCAGCACCACAAAAGATGTTGCTACTAACCTCTCTGACCCGGAAATGGTAACATTCTAATTCGAATAATGTGACATTTTATGATAAATTTGGAGAAACGTATGGAGAAATACACCCTCAAACACACATTTCCTAATGGTAGCCACAGTTTCTAGCCTACTCCCAAGCTCCACTTCGTCCTAGGGAACAGTCCCACCCTTTGCCAAGCGTTTCTTTTTTAGGCAAGCATACTCTCCCACATACGACATAACAGATCCGAACGATCCACTTGTTCGAGCACTTCCTTCGCTGGAGCCAATACAACGTAACACAAAACAGAGACCAGTTGTTTCATTGCGGCACCCCGCCCACGTTCATGAAGACACAGGGTGTGACTTAACCAAATCTGTGCACCCTACGTAAATTATTTTCTCTTAACTCCGCTATTACCAAAACTGGATCTCTTTACAACGACTATGTTCGTTAAAGCTCCTCACATTCTTTGTATCACTGAAACTTGGTGCACATCAGCTATAGCTGACATACAGTTGAATGTTTCGGATGATCAATTGTTCCGGAACGAACGTCAGCGCAAACGCGGCGGTGCATGTGCCGTTTACATATGCCATGGCGTAAGAGCGACCTTATCTGACAGTTAGCCTTCAATGATTTGAGTAATTCACTACGGTCGACTATATATCGACTCATGATCTGTCATCGAGCAGCATTTATGGATCATTTGATGCCACGCTCTGTGAACCTCAGCAAATTATGTATGCCACAAGTGCTGCATCTAGCTCTCCACACAAGCAAAATTCCTGGGTAGACGTTTCGATCTGATAAATATAACCTGGATGTCGCATAAGCCGGTAACGACTGCAAGACCTGCATAAAAATGTATCTGTATCTGTGTTTGGACTAAACATGCAAGGCGGCCTAGCGTGTTCAAATAACATCTGGCTTTTCTCATACGTAGATTAACACCTTACGCACCAAAAGAATATGATCACAATACGATGCACTGTCGCATATCAGGTGAGCTGAAAAGTACAAAGCAACAAGAAAATCAGTACCCAATTACATGCTAGTGATTAAAGCACATTTGACAAGCTGCTTAGGACCACGTGTTGGGACCGACTCCTCTCCACAGCTAATTCGGCCAGAGCTGCAGGCGAATTCGCTTAAAAAATATAGCCACATGTACGGACATTCAAACACCTACGTTGAAAGTAAACACAGATCCCTTCGACGGCCGATACAAAAACACTTCCAAGCTAAAACAGTTAAGAGCGTTGCACCGCAAAAACAAAGACTGCCACATTACTGAAATTTGAACGCCAAACTCACCAGTCTAGAACTGGCGAGGGAACTTGAGCCTTCAGGAATTCAGGACAAGCTCGAGCCCTAATACAGTTACAGAGAAGAAAAATCCGGGACGACTCGAGGAAATCCCAAGCCTGTTTCTGAATGATGGTACGACAACGAACGATAGTCAAAATATGTGAATCAATGAACTCTTAGTTTGCTACCTCGTACAATGCTGCATCACATCTAATTCCAAGAAACACCAAAGAGATACTCTGTAAACTCCCATTGAGTCAAAAGGACATAGATGACTACTACACTCATCAAACCGACATTTCACATGGGACCTGAAGGCATTCCCCTTGCTGGTGGGGTAAGTGTACCCCCCACATGCTGAACACTTTTACGCTGTCATTAAACATCGGCTGCTTCCAGTCTTAGTGGAAAAATTCCATAATTATGCTGAAACACATAGGCGATCCACTGGATCGAATATCAAACTATCGACCGATAAACCATATCCTTGCGCTTATCGAGAGCCAATGACTGGTAGCTCAATTCCTACGCCTTTCGTTTGGTCGATTGCCAAACAGGGGTCAAATTCGCCCCAGAATATCAGCATCACGTTACTAGAATACAACGCTCCACCCGAGTGCAGCATAGGGCAGTGACTTCATTTATTGCCGAGTAACATCTGCCAAGTTGCAGTGTTGTTAAAAGGACATATGTGGCTTTTTATAGAAAGAACGCTTGCCAGGCGAGAACTCATCACGTCCTAGAAAAAAATAATGATGAAAACTGGAAAGCTTGTAGCCAAACCTAAACATATATGCGGCTATACCTAGGTCAGTCGGGGAATATATCAGTGCGGTTCAATGTGGCTGCTTAGTAAATCTCTTGCGAACTCTTCTATTCTTGGTGTTATGTAGGTAAGGGTACAGTGGGCAAACACACTACTGATAGCTTGCGTTGCACAACGCGCAAACTTCATCCGGCTGGCAGTTATAATTAGCTCCCAATCAATGCTCAAAATGGAAGCGGATATGAGAGTGGGAAAATGCGTAACTGATGCCGCGCACTCCCACTTCAAAGAGAGTGGAGCTAAAGCGGGAGTATCCAAAAGGGAAATACACCAGATACATGAGAGAAGAGAACGGAAAGGAAAGCACATGGAAGTCAATTGGTATCTGTGCACGAGCAAGGGATGGAAAATGTAGCAACAAAAAACAAAATGATGAGAAGAGTGGAAACGTCATATATTAGAGGAATCAGCGAGCTAACATGAACAAGGGCCAGAGTGTGACAACTTAGACGTGCGAAGAGATGACAGTAAGCCAGATGAAACAACAATCAAACGACAAATCGATCTGCGTTATAAAAAGCAAGGCGACAGTCATGATTATTAAGGTTCGCGGCTGATGACGCAGAAAGAGGAGAGGAACGCATTCGGCACATTTCCCATAAAAATCCTCTTTGGCAACAAAGAGAAGTGGGAAACGAATGAAGCAGTGGGAGGAAGTAGATAATCGGTAGGATGCTCAGAGATTAAAAAACCGGTCGTAGACTAGGCTTGAGCACACAAATGGGCAAGTAAAGAAACGTGTTCAGACGGGTGTTGTACAGCTATCTGAACAGATGAAGCAAGAATAGAGAAACGAATGCAACGAGGTACATGGCACACGCCTAGAAAGACGGTGGTTGATGTTTGCATGCAGCTCATCCCAGAGAAGTGAAGTCTGAGACTGGATGAGGAAACTAACAGACGAAAGTATCACGAACAAATTTGGAGGGCTTAAGAGAATTCTACAGGTTGGAAAAGTTGCTCCATTATGGTGTGCAGGTGTTATTTCCCATTGGCGAAGGCGCAGGACCATCGCGAGGGGGTGGATGGTCACGGTCCGATCTACCTGATGTGTTTATTAACGAAGGCCCGGAGATTTCGTCCTCAGAAGTTAACAGCGAACCCGCGTATGTTTTGAGAGCATCATTCATCGCAGCCATGAACTCAGCATGCTGAGGATAGGACATTGACACGAGATCACTGAAAGCGGAACTCAGGTATTCGCTTGGGGGTGGTGCAGCTGCTGAAGAGATAGGAACAGAGGGTGAAGCAGCAGTAGTATTGGTGGCGGCTTCGGGAGTAGTGAGCGTGGATGCAAGAGTGGCTGCTGCCTGAGGAGCGTGTATCGAGCTGATTACGCTTTCACGTGGGACGCGATCGGAAAAACGACGCGAATGGGATAAGGAAGATGCGGGAATAGTGGCCAAAATGCGAGTGTGGGAAGGATCCACCAGAAAAGTGGGACAGTACCTCGCGGAAAAAGCGGGTCGATTGGATCTTGAAATATTATCAGACACGCTAACAGACTGTCTGTACATGGTGGTAAAATGACGTACACGGTTGGCAGCAGTCAAGGGATGAAGAACATGAGTCCGGCCGGAGGAGCTTCCTGCCCCCTGACTTCTATCGGAGGCGGTAGGTGGGTCATTCCTCGAGTTTCCAGAGCTGCCGTCAGGTAAACGTTGTGACCTGCCTGTGGAACCGGCATTTCGGTTGGCCCCAGGATCATCATCATCGTCTTCGTCATTCCCCTCGATGGTTTCACTCCGACATCGTCCGCTTTCGTAGCTTTCTTCTTCTTCCTCTCCTTCATCATCGTCCTCCTCATCTTCGTCTGCCTTATTAGCAGCTTCTTCAGAGGATGAGGAGCTGTATCCGTCGGCATCGTAAACGCTGCGGTTGCTCGGTTGACCCTCGGTTCCAGTTGAAGATCGTCGAGCCCTGCGAACACCTGAAACATGCCCATTAGGTAGAGGGCGCCGGTTAGCAGAGCACGCTTCGCCGGATCGCAGGATTGCATCATCCGGTTGCGGAGTAGCCCCGTTGGAGAGCTGTGGGCTTGTACGATGGCGTTTGGGTGTACGGTGTGAAGCAGACTCGTATAGAGCGGCAGCATCCGCTTTAGCCAGTTGTGAAGGAGAAAGGTGATACAGCAGAAAGTGCCCAAGGGTTTGAGCTTCAACGAAGTACTGGTCCTGGAAGCAACGTTGAAGTGCTCGCAAACCCTGTTCTAAGGCCGGTTGTACGGGGAGGTCATGGGCCTCTAAAATGGAAGTGAAAGATTGTAGGCAGGCATGTGGAAAGGCTTTAAAAACAGAGTACGTGTGGGGTCAGGGATGAGATCTCGAGGTAGCCAAGAGGATGGACTCTCAAAAAGAGGGCACGTGCGAAATGCATGATAGGAATATAGTCGTCTTTCTATCACTATCCTCTCAGATAACGAAACGCGAACAGTTTACATCACAAGGGACATTTTTAATAAGAATAACTTTCTCTGAAGACTAAACGCTGATAGCTCGCTTAGAACTTTAATGAGCACTTACCGAGAACGGCGCTGTTGATGACGTTGGCTATCGTGTCTCGCCAGGCAGGATCAAGCAAACCACGAAGAGGGCAGTTGACCGACGTGGGAGAGGAGTAGGCGAGCAGACTGACAGATTGCTTTTGAAGGGGTGAAATGAGGTGGAAGCCGAAAGAAGCGGATTGAACGGACAACACATAACCCGGACTAATAAAAGACAAGCTCTAGAATTACTAAACAGTAGATTGTATCACAAATCACATTAGGTAAACTGCGTCACTATTTCAATGCTGACTTGAGGCGTGGGAGCGAGTGTCGCTGAAGGCAATGCAAACCGAGGCTAAATGCTCACCTTGATCTAGACTTTGGTTAATTCAAATACGATGGTAGCATTCAAAGTAGAGAGAACTCTGGTATTTTTCGTTCACTACAGTGACATAAATCGAAGCTCAAGAATCAAAAGAGTATAAATTTACCTGTAGTAACCGCTCGGTTTCAAGTGAAAGTCCACCAGTTTTCACTCTTACTTCCTTTACCAAGTTGACAAGAGAACGGGCGAACTGAATATGCCTCATCAAACAAGGTAGTTCGCTGGTCTCCAATGAAGCATGGTTAGCTGAGTGTGATTCCGAAGAAACGATTTTCGTTGACGAATCCATATCGACTTCCATCTCATTCATGAAACCAACATCAATGGAGCTGATGCCCATCCCAGTGTCGTCATTCACACCGAAGTCATCATCATCCTCATCGCCAAGCGCATCCTCCTCGTTCTCATCCGCATAACTGGGTTCCAAGTATCCCATCAACTCAGGTATATCTTCGTGGAGCTGGTTACCGGTGGTACTCGCGGGATCGTCTGACCCCTCCATGCAGACGTCTATCTCCATGTCAACAGCCCCATTCTGAAGAGGCAAAAACGAGTTCAAAAGCAATGACTCTTAACTGCATACCTCTTAAGCATTGGTTGCAATGTGTGAGTGACAATTAATAAGACAGTAGAGCTCACACTGAACGAGGTACAATTTCCGGAAAGGGTTACATTCTAGGTGAAGCCTCCAGAGGGCTATTCCATAAAACGGCTGGTCACTGAAGTCAGTCAGAAAGGAATGACCAGACGGAACAGTCTTGTCATTCGAGTAAACTGGGAATAACCGAGAGGATAAATAAGCTCCCAACTCGTTTGATTAACCTGAGGTCCAACCACTGACCATCCTGGATGGTAATTAATAACACAATATAAGAAGCTGGGGGAATTAAAGACGGTAAGAGAAATGACAATATTCTGTCTATCTACGCTCGTGCCTCCACCAAACTCACCGAATACAGAGGGTTATGAAGAACATAGTAAGGTTCAGTTCAGCCAAATAGATCAGTGAAAGTTAAGAAACCTAGAAACCGTACCCATGTGCTAAGATAAAGGGCAAACTACGCACCGACCAGAGATTGACGTCCTATGAGAGTCGCATGACGAATGACTAGTTGACTCGGAAATAAGCACTGAAATCACTCAAAATCCAAACGATGTGGTTGAAACGTACAGCGGCTGTTCTGTGTAGAATGAGATCTGATGAGAGTGCAGCGGAGAGCGGTTGGGTGCACCGAAAATGAACAGATTCATTCGTGCAAACGTCTCCGCGTATTAAGAAGCAGATACAATTACAACAGATAACCTGGGTCGTGCTTGGAAGACAATGGGTTCGACAAGAGAGGGAAAACGAACCTCAGAACTTCCGACAGAAAACATTGACTTGTTGGCTAAGCAACAAGAAGGTCGAACTTTTTGAGGGTCAGATAGCCTTTTCATTTTTGGGGGCGCGATGGAAGAACCCGAACCCGAAGACAGAGACTCCGACACCAAGTCGAAGGCTTCAGCGTGACCACGACGTATGGCGTGTCGGCGCATCTGTCAGTAAGAAATGAAAGAGAACGCTGAGTAGAGGTGTGGAATCTGCAAGTAATCGGGTGATGCATTAAAGGGGATTCAAACAAACAGTGTATTCAGCAGAAACAAAGAAAAGGTCTTGCGGTTCGAAAGCCTAGCGGTAGATTCGACGTTTGGTAGGGGCTAATAGTGCCTGGCATCTATAAAAAAGAGATGTTGGGAGAGACATTTAGGAGACAAAAGAGAGATGAGGAGCGACATAATCAACATGCTTTGCAGAATATATTGTCCACGTGGAATGAGGAGCACGGAACAGGTAGAGCATGCTCTTACTGAATACTGTGTGAATTTGATAAATGTCGTGATTTGCTATCTCAAAAAACGGCAAAAGCTTGAGTCTGGGGGATAAGTTAAACATCCCATGGAAAATGAACACATATTCCAAGGACGATTAGAACTAACCATTTCGATCAATTGACGACAGCGTAACTGCACCAACAGTTCCGGACACCGCTCTAATACTTCCGGGTATAACTGATTAAGAGTGGATGCTGCCTTGCCGTATTGGCACCGCTTACAAAGGGCACGAAGGCGACGTCGGTGCAGCATGCTTGCCAACCCGGGAAGTTGCAGCATTGTGGAGCTTGGTGGGTCGATGCAAGAGCTGTCACTGTGACGTCTGGGAATGGTTGATGATTTCTGTGTTGGGGGCAAACTAGGAGTATTAGGTTCGTGAGGCACTGTGGGTTGTCGAGATCCGATGTGGGAATCGCACGATCGTGACTGTAAACCGCCAGAATCAAGCGGCTTATCGCCATGTACCGGGGATTTGGAGGTGGTGCTTCGCATAACCACAGCATCAGGATCCTTAGATTGGGGTTCCATGGACTCCGCGGCGACAGACGCCCAACGAGAGAAAGCCTGGGCTGTGGCAACGTAACCGTGATGAACGAGATAGCCCGAAACAAGTCTGCAAATGAAGAAGTACATGTATGGGGATACAAAAGTAGTGTTATTCACTGACCGAGAGAAAAGTAACCCTTAATTACATAGTGGTAGTCCGATAGCCAGGGGACAGGAAGGGTAAGAAGACAAGCACCGGCAAACCAAAAAGAGAAACAAGTACATGGCCCGAAGTTTACACAGGAACGGACGCTTTTCACGCGTCTGCGGTGCATATGATGACTTTGCAAGTTCGGCCAAGTATGAGGAAGACAACAAAACCAGTGTAACTACCGTCGCAACGACAGCATACGGCATTGCAGCAAACAAAGATACGTAGCCCGTGGCTTTAAGGATCACAAACCTGTCATCTAATCCTAAGGTCGAGAGTTCGAGCCAGTGTAGGGGACCGAGTGACGCTCGCAATTTCCTTAGCCCACGCGCGACTGGTGGTGGCTGCGCGGGGGCGAAGCGTCAGTATTTGCGTACACGCGGGTGTCAACAGGAATTGCACTAGCCGGCGTGATCGTGAGTCATACGATGTTGATCATGGTCGTTACAAGCATCGCCGCCACCAGCGTCAACAAAAACAAAAGCAGAGAACAGACAAATTAATAGAGGATGAGAAGAGGAAGGAAACGGGATATAGAACAAAACTAAGATGTGCAAAATAAACGTTTAGAATCCAGATGCCTGCAAGTGTTAACACAGAATGGCCACAAATTGCTGGTCATCGAAGGATACAGCGCCCCTACGGGTAGAGGAAACGAGAACAATCGGTTGTCGCATATGCTGGACAACGTCCAAACTAGACGTAAAAGTTCCCTCAGGGCAAATGGGCCAAAGCATAATTGGTATGGTATTTCACCGAAGTGAAACGATGATCATCATAATGGTAGTGTAAATTAGAGACCAAACGCTATTAGCGGTCTGTCTGTCACGTCAAGAGGCACAGTTATAAAGATAAGGACCTTGTGGTAGCAGTGATGTTAAAACTCGACCTTCAACCCGAGTATCCGATTGGAGGGATAAAGGCAACGAACCAATCGCCCCCAAAACAGTAAGTAAAAGTAAGCAGACAGTTGATCAACCGTGACGTGTGTACCGAAACGCAGTGGACAAAATTACAACGAGCACACGGAAATGATATTAATAAGAGTTGACAAGGATAATTCAAGAGGAATGGACAAGAACTAAATCTTCAGATGCAGCAGCTGAGGTCCATAAAAGCGGAGACAAATCCCAGAACGTCGTTGACGACGTGATTCCTCGATACTCGCTATATTCCACAATTGATGTCGATCCTAAGGCCATTAACAAGAGAGATCAGTTACTTCAGACTTGCTGTAACGTCACGGGCTAGCCATCTCAGGGTTTCATTCAACTGTGTGAAGTATTGGTAAGCAAGTGGCAACAACACACGAAGGCAGAACATGGTTTGAGACTTGGGATTTACGTGACTTCTTGCCGCAGATAGGAAAGAAGCAATCAAGCCATGGGTCTCACAAGCGCTTCAAAACAAGGACTTGAAAGGCTGGACTTAGCGGCAGCATCAAGGTAGGTAGGAAGCACTGATGCAACGCCGTTGTACTGCCATGGACCACAGAAGGATACTACTTGGAGGCAAGAGGTAAAGAGAAGGCCTAAGGGAGCGAATAATGCACATGAACAAAACACATTAGCGGCTAAGTGGTTGTCTTTCGATGATGGAGCGGATCTTTCGAAGACCTTTAATATCTAGAGTCATAAGTAGAACCTTCCTTCTCTTCTGAAGTAACTAATGTGCAAAGCCGCTGACGCACATGAATAAAGGGTGCGTTGGCTTAAATAAAGTACCCAAAGGTCCTCAGCCAGGCAAGGGTAAGTTAGTAGTATTCTGCTCCCGCCAAAAGCCGAGATATAAAAGATACTATTTGTGATGTAATTTAACTTTACCTTTTATACGTCTACATAAACTCCAGCTTGAATGACGGTAACGGTAATTTTGCGTCAGTAAGTGTTCATCAACGAACAGTGAGTTGCGGGGGTCGAATGGGGGAAAGGTTCAAGGGCTGGTAGACCGACAAGTTCCGCTTCAGTCATAAATTAGGACGTCAATGTTTGCAACTCCCTGCTCGTTGACCCAGATGAGTTGGGAGTCAAGCTTCAACCAATAGGCAATGAGAGTAGGGTGCCTGATTGGTCTCACATGCACAGCGTTACAGAGCATCCAAAGAAAACCTCTAGGACGTAGCAGGAACATTCCAGGGCATAAACGAGTGAAAAGTGCATAGGAATTAGCGGGTAGGGACCATAATCATGATCTACTTCGGAGGTGCTTTTGTAATTATCAGCAGACGAAAAGCCGTCAATAGGTGAGAGCCGAAGTGAGAGATAGGCGAAAGCACACGAACAGCTTGTAAGGGGTAAGTTAAAAGTAACACGAATCACAAGTGATATCAACAATGTGTGAGTTTGAGACAAATACGGGAAAACTCACTCTCGCATTTTTGATCCGGCAAACTCCTCCTTACAGACGCGAGTAATCAGATTATTCTCCTGCATGGCACGCTCTCGTGAAATGTGGGCGTCGAAAGCGTACATGAATGGACGCTGACCGAAATTTGCGTTTAAACGTGTTCCCCGACCTTGCAGACCGACAGCTGGATATAGCCGGGTACTTGGACTCGCCTGAAAGAGAAAAACAATAAAGTTAGGGGTCAAAAGTAAAAAAAGCTGGATGGGTGGATTTGGGTTCCATAGGATAGAACCGATATAATAACCCTAAGGTAGTTACACATTTTGTCCAGAAACGTGTATAAGTGATGCCATATGTAAAAGCGAGTGGACTAACAAAGTATACCACAGCTAAAAGACACGTAGATGCGGAACACAGGCTTGAAAAGACAGTTTAAGTCAAGTATGTGGAGGGAACAATAAATAGGTTAGAGAGTAGTTGGCCATATAGATTTGGTAAGCTGTGGACTGATAACCTGTCGACTTCAGGGGATGAGAGATGGTAAATCGCAAAACCGTAAGACAAAAAAACGTGATCAAGGTCCAACAAGACCATGCTGCAGTTTTTCTACAGGGTAGGAAGGCAGCAGTCGCTAGGGTTGCTATAAAAATCCAGTAATACAGGGAGCAGCTCTGGGCAAAGTTTATACAAGTTACGCTAAGTTACGTTGAGTGGATGGAGTGAAGCGAATGGTGTGGGTGAACTCCTTTTTATCGAGGAAACAAACTAAACTACTCACTGGGATTTTTCCTTCGAACGCCTTCCCAAGGAAGATACCATTGCGAGTGAAGAAGAGGCTGCGGGACATAAAGTCCACACCGCATCCCACTGTATCGTTCTCAACTATACGCGGCCCAAACTTTGTAGAAGAACTAGTAGATCCATGGCATATAGATCCATCGTTATTATATCCGAAGGAACTGTGTTCTGAACCTGAAGAAGATAAACAGATCCAGAGATGTGATGGTACGACAAACTGATGGTGATCATGATTACGCAAGAGGATTGGACAGATGAAGACAGTAGTAAGCAACACAGACGGCCACGGTATCGTCCTTATTACTAACAGCAGTAGATCAACCATTCGAACTGATGCTTTATTGTCGCACAACCACAACGATTTAAGGGATGAAGTGTAATGGGAGGAAGTGGGGCTCAGTGAAAAAATTTAATGCCTCAAGCGCACATTCAGGATTAAGCCGCCTACACACTATTAACAACATACGGTCACAAACAGCTGGAATTCGTGTGAAGATAGAGCGGCATTGGCGAGACAGTTTCCTTGTGGTTTTCACTGTCCGCGTCATAATCAACCATTACCCCGCAGATAACACAGCATCACACACTTTAAACAGAGTCCGACTGGGAGCCGACAGCAAACACACCAATGGTGCCGACTGAGAACCATGTCCTGTAACGTCTCAAGCCAAACGCAAGGCGGGTTGCGTGAACTCCAACCCGAAAGACGAAGCAAACCATAAATACCCAATTTGGTCGTTAGTGACTTCATCTACCGCTGCCACATTTTCGGTCCACCTTAAGCCTTGGGCCATGTCACAAGCGGCAAGCAAAACAAGGCCCTCCTCGGCAAGCGGTGAACGGGCATACGTAGTATTGTCCAAAGCAACGCAACTTATCCGGGGTGACAGGGAGGAGTAGCAGCTCGGGTAGGAGACTTGCCTTACACCTCCGGGTAATTCACCTATCTTTGGTCTCCACCTATCAGTCAGCTCTCACCTGTGGCTCGAAGAGTGCTTGCACGCGGCAGCGGCCACACTCCGGTCAACCGTCAGGCAGATGACTTAAACCAGATGAGGGTAGCCGGGAATACTATTCTCGGTGAGTTCGTACCCGCGTGCAGCGTCAATTCTGAGAACTGGGCGGAACAGATCGACCCCTGATCCAACGGCCAGAAGTTAGGGCAATTTCCCAGATTGCTGCTTTCTTGCAGGTAGCACTTGGCTATGCAAAGGCTAGAAGTGAACCCTGGAACAAAAACCAGATGAGAGTGGGGACCTCGTAAGTGCCCATAATCCCCACGAAACTCCATGATATGTCTGTTACCCGCGATTCTTCTCATGCTACGGCGTTCCCGGTAGGCGACGCGCTCTGCGCTTACCCAGTGGCCAGAGTGACAAGTAAGCTAGTTGGGTCCCTTAATCCCCGGAAGCCACTATTCATTGGATGCTGGAATGGCAGAACCCTGTTGGATGTCGGCAGCCAAGCATGGACGATGCGCACACTACATGACTACCAGATCGACATAGCATGCCTGAATCTCGAATACCCGGCTATGGCTATCGAGGAATCAAAATCCCTGGTGTAGACACCTCATATTGGCTTTGCCACAGTGTGACGGAAGATGATTCTGGCAATCATGGGGTCACCATGGCTCTTATTTGCCAGGCACACAACGCTCACATTTCATGGAAGCAGGTATCAGCTAGAATAGGAGTTGGACGCTTCAAAGGTCACCCAATGAATCTGACCATAATCTCTGTGTACGCACCAACCCTACCCTCAGCGTAAAGGGACAAAGAGGACTTTTACAATACTCTACAGACAGTGGTGGAATATGCCCTAAAACGCGACATCCTCACTATTGCTGGGGACTGGAATGCACGAAGCGGGCCTAGGAACGATCAGACCCGTCACATATTCGGGAGTTAAAGATCTTGGAGAGCGGTGTGATAATGGAGACCGCTTGCTTAGCTTCGCCGACCTTAACCGGTTGTGCGTAACCAATACCAGCTTCCAGCATCCCAGGAAGCATCTTCTGACGTGGTACTCCAACGATGGTTGTACAGCAAGCCAGATAGATTACATCTTAATCCGATCCCGGTGAATGTCCTTCATCGATGACTATCGAGCGTACAGAGGGGCTGAAATGAGTAATAAAGGTGGCTCGGACCACGTACTCATGCGCGTCAAATTCAGAATCCGCTTGAGAACGCGCCGAAAGACCTTTCCACCAAAGCGTATCAACACTGCCCCACTGGAAAACACTGACTGCTGCCGATCCCTTGAGGCAGCAATAGAAGCAAAAATTTCTGCTAGTGCATCACACCGGGTACTTGCAGAAGATGAATCTGTCGACGCTCGTTGGTCTAGGCTAAAATCATCAGTTCAACGCGCCGCTTTATCTACCCTGGGCTCTACCTCTAAGTCTGTGAAGGACTGGATCACTGAAGATACTATCCGCTTGTCCGCTAAAGCGAGGGAAGCACGTCTCAAAAATTCCCCAGACTACCGTCGCTTGAGACGTAAGGTAACCCGCTCAGCACGGAGTGATCGCAACGGCTACTGATCTGTTATCGCAGGTAACATGGAAGTTGCATCGGATTCTGGCAATTTAGGTCATCTCTTTCGGCTCGCCCGTTTAGCTTCTGGCAAGCGCTATACACCATAACCGATGTTGCGCAATTCGGAAGGCCAAATCATCCCCGATACAGAAGGAAAACTTTCCAGATAGGTAGTATTTTAGCAACAGCCCAAACCGCCCAATACATAACACCGCACCCATTTCAGCATTAACCCAGCCAGGATATGACGCAGATTGCTCACCGCCATCTCCCACAGAAATTGCAGGCATCGTTCGTCACTTGAAGCTGAAGAAAGCTCCTGGAGCGGACGGGATTCCAGCGGAAATCTACAAGCTTTGTCTATCAGCACTTCTTGATCATTTGCACGAGCTCTTCTGCTCGATATGGGAGACTGAAATCTGTCTTTCCTCGTAGAGTACCTCAGTACTTCTGTCATTTCCAAAGAAAGGTGGCCGAACTGTGTGTAGTAATTATCGCGGGATTAGGTAAATCGATGTGGCTGCCAAAACCTTCGCACGAATCTTGCTTTCCCGCTTTTCCAATGAGAGGAACCTGCAAACTCGCTATAACCAAGGTGGCTTTCGATCAGGCAGGGGCTGTACTGACCAAGTCTTCATTCTACGTCGGGTACTCGAACACCGGTACCAGTTCCAGCAGCCCACGTTTGTGTGCTTCGTTGATGTTCGAGCTGCTTTTGACTCAGTCGATCGTGAAACACTGGAGAATCCTACTTGCCGATGGCGTGCCGGTTATACTCGTTAACCTGATGTAATCATACTACCGTTGCACGAAGGCCCGGATTCCGGTATAGGGAGAAAAAACAAAGGAATTTGACATCAATACTGGAGTCTGGCAGGGTTGCCCACTTTCTCCAGTGCTGTTCAACTTCGCAGCTGATTGGGTTAGGCATCATGCGCTTGAGGGCTATCGCGGTGTTCAAGTTAGCCCTGAGTTTCGGCTGTCAGATCTAGAATTTGCTGACGATATCGCTATCGTCGCAGAAGATGTTATAGCACTACGGTCACTGCTAAATCGGGTCGACCAATCAGCTTCTGTGATCGGCCTCGAAACTAACATCAGCAAGACAAAGTACTTCTCATCGCTAGCCACCCAGTCCGCCCCGTCACTCTCCTTACACAGACAACTCATCGAAGCTGTTCATGAGTTCAAGTATCTTGGATCCACTATACTCCCCAATGGTCAGGCTACATCCGAAATCCAGAATCGTATTGACAGCGCTAGAACAGCCTTCTTACAACTGAGAAACGCAGTGTAGCGAAGGACGGAAATTAGTCTGAGAACGAAGATCGGAGTATTCTCAGCAACCAATCGTGCCATTTTACTCTATGGTTGCGAAACATGGCCGCTGCAATCCGAAGACACCCGAAAACTGGAAATTTTAGACCACTGGTGTCTAAGGCTTACCTTGAAAACGCAGTGGCATAAGCGTATCACCAATGACGAAATCCGTAAGCGCTGTTACACTCTTCCGACGCTCTCAGCGTTCATCGAAGGCCGCAGACTTCAGTGGTTAGGTCACGTTCTCCGCAGACCAGACACTGACTTCACTAGGACCGTGGTTTCACCCTCGCCTTGCCAGGGTTGGTGTCATCGCCGAAGTTGACAACTGAAAACGTGGCTCTCTGCATTGAAATTGGATGTCGACCTTTTGGGACTCAATGTTGCGCATGGCGCTCGTAGCTGCAGGAATCACTGGAATAGTATCTGCTTGGAGCTTGCCGCCTACCACCGGGCTTGGGCAGCTGCAATCCGCGACATTTATGAAGCCGGCTCATCCTGTAGCAGGAGCTAGCCGCAATAAAGTAAAGTAAGTAACTTATCCGATATTCTCAGTTGCACTAAAGAAGTAGCCAGGCTATTATCGTCTAGTACTTTATTACGCACATTATCGTTGCGGACACATTAGTACCATACGAAAACAGCAATGCTCCGCAAGCAATGATGACCAAAGACTTGGAGGCGCCTCAGATACCTAGAACGAAGGGGCCAAGCCTCGCTCCCAGAGATGACTCTCACTGTGATCTTGTGCACAAGTCATTTCGAACCGAGGAGAACCCTCTTTCGACGCCACATATTTTGTGTGTCCAAAACACACGAACCAACCATAGCGGTTACGCGCCCATCGCTGCTAATGAAGATGCCAAGGTAGATGAATTGATCAACTACCACGAGTTCCGTGTTTTCAAGAGTCAACGATGCATCAAATCGCTGGTCTTGTGACAACACTAAACTTTGCAAGGTGCATGACTTCCTCATCAAGATCGTCAACCGATGAAACAATACCGTCCGCATAAAGATCAACAAACTTTGCACCAGGCCTGTACTGTGGGATCTCACGAGGAAAAACTATCATTGAGTCCACTTTTAAGCTGGACAAAAATAGGGAGATGGGATAACCCTGAGGAATACCACTCGTCGAAAGGACGTCCGATAAGTCACCGCATACCCTGACGCGGCTTGTGGTGTCCGAGTACAGGGTATGTAAAGGTTCACATATTTCAGGGGAATAGCTGTACACGCCAATAGTACGAACAGAATGAATTGATCGACTGAGCCGGCTGCATTCTTGAAATCAAGGTACACAGCTAGT